TTCAGCCTCTTTAGCTATTAATGCATTAAAATAGGTTTCATTTTTATTGCAGACAAATTGCTGCTCCTGTAAATTCTCCTTCTGTCCCCTCACACCCTGGGGAGAAGGAAGGGATAACGTCCGCTGAGAGAGACAGGGACTAGAGGCCAACGTCTTAGGATCAGCCTATCAGGGCTCAGAGAAAATTCCACATGTACCCCAAGCTTTGTGCCTGTTTCCCAAAGAGACAGCTTGAGCTCTGCCTGGTGGCGGTTGTCTGGGGGAGGCTGGTTGGCATTGCTGTGGCATGCACGGTCCAGCCCTGGACACGATGCCGTCAGTCCACGTTCAAAGTGACAAGAGCCGCACATGCGCCTGCTCCGTGGCCGTTCCCACCACGGACTGTACTGGAGGGCTCTCGCCGCCCACCTGGCTCCACGCGGGCAGAGCGTCCTGAGCAGACCGAAGGACAACACCAAATCGTTTAGGCAGAAGGTTGGCTGCTGAACCCACAGGCCTGGGTGCACATTTCTAGTGCAATCAATACCTTGTTTTCTGGTTAGCTAATAGCTTTAAGTGGCAGACAAGGCCAAGATCCAGGGTCCAAAAAACGTAGCCACGTGACACCAGGGGGCTCGTGGCTCTGTGGGAGGTGAAGTTCTGGCTTTTCTCCTACAGGGTGCACAGCTATGAGGCCTTGGCCTGTGTTCCAGAGAGACTCCTTGAGATACGCTCTGAATATCAAAACTGGTGGGTCTGAGACACCTTTGCGATCATTGGAAATGTCTATTTAGTTTATATATCCCTGAAGTTAGAAAGAGAGAGCGAGAACGTACTGATGAAAGCAGTAAGGGAAGACAGTGGTGTCATAAGACATCAACTTAAAATCCACGAGTACAGTTGCAACCGTGAAAAGAGGCTAAGAACGAGAAGAAGAGACAGCCGGTCCAGGTAGACCCCCAGACCATCAACAGTTCTGTCTCTCTCCTCTCTAGCACTTTTGAAATCTCAACCTCTCTCTTCCCCTATTAAAAATGCCAAGTTTGCGGCATGCTCTTTATTTCCATTTCCTAAGCAATATGCTTGGATGGTAGATAAAAATTTTTTCTGAGAAAGACTTCCTTTCTCTTCCCCTTAAAACATTCGATGCATTTTACAACTTAAACCAAACAGATTGTTCCCCCTTGGGAGTTCCATCTAGAAAATAAATGCATGACTGGTGTAGTCGAAGTCCTCCAAAGAGGCTCAGAGATGGTTTTTAGAGGGAACTCAAAATGAAGTGCAGGGAGATACGGCCAGAGGAACGGGCGAACAGAGAGGGGAGGGGGAGGGTGTGGCCTGGGGAGACTTTGGCCCTTGAGGAGAGGAAAGAGCTGATTCCTCAGGGGTCCATTTCTCAATCATTTTTCCACCATCTTCGTGATTTTTGTGAAACTCCCCACACCAATTATTTACTTAATGTTTTTCCTCTCTAAGTCAATTTTCTATTTAAACTTAAAGATATGTATACAAAACAGGCGATACCACTTTTGAAAATGGAGACCTGTATCATTTACAATTTTAGGGGGACTAGTTTTAAAAGTTAAAAGCTTCAGCCTAGCCAGTGTGGCTCAGCGGTTGAGCATTGACCCATGCACCAGGAGGTCACCAGTTCGATTTCCGGTCAGGACACATGTCCAGGTTGTGGGCCTGATCCCCAGTGGGGGGAATGCAGGAGGTGGCCATTCTATGTTCTCTCTCATCCATGTTTCTATCTCTCTCTCCCTCTTCCTTCCTTTCTCTCTAAAGTCAATTAAAAAAAAAAAAAAGTTAGCCCTGGCCGGTTTTGCTCAGCGGTTAGAGCGTCGGCCTGCGGTCTGGAGAGACCCGGATTTGGTTCCCGCTAAGGGCACGTACCTCGGTTGCAGTTTGTCCCCGGCCCTGGTTGGTCGTGCAGGTGGCAGCCACTCGATGTGTCCCTTTCGCGTCGATGTTTCTCTCTCTCTCTCTCTTCCTCTCTCTCCCTCCCACTCTATCTGTACAAAAAATGGAAAAGTGTCCTCAGGTGAGGATGAAAAAAAAAAAAAGTTAAAAGCTTCAGTTAGAAAATATACAGCAATTGCATTCTGGCTAGATACTGTTGCTTGCCTATGGTTATGAACCTGAGATCCGTTCTCCCTTGGCAAAGAAGCGTGATAAATAAGCAGAAGAAAGGTTTGGAAGATACTCTAGCACCAAACTCCGCTTTTCCCCTCTAGGTAACCATAAAGAGTGAAATAAATTTGAAAAGAGAACAGACTTCTCATTCAGTAGTTCAGTACTATTTGATCTTAGGTACCATAGGTGGCATTCAATTCACCCAACCCTTTAAGAACCTTGTCCTAGAAGCAATGCTAAGCATCGGTGAAGAGTGTGACCGGGGCCTAAACAGCCTAGAATCAGCTGAGGCATAGAGCCCATTGCTGCCCCCTTCCCTTGGAGACTACTGCAGTCAAAACTCAGAAGTCCATTCTCCTTGATGTGAGAAATCCCTTGGGAGCCTCAGAGAGCCGTGCATGGGGTCCTTAGGCACCTGCGCGCTGCTGTGCTTCTTGGTGCAACGGGATCTATGGAAGTGGTCTGTGGTCAGAAGAAAGCCAAGGAGATGTGGGGGAGGGGGGCGAGGGCTCCTCTTGAAGCAGAGAGAATGAGTTGGACAGAACCGATGACCCCATATGTCCTGATGGGTGCAAGTAGCATCAGCCATGGCCTTCAGCTGATGGGGCCACTTAGGAAACCTTATGTGTTGCTAACTTAGCAGCAGCTTCTCCAGAGAAGAAGACCCAGCGGGCAGGTCATCACATGCCCATGTGCTTTATGTACAGTGACATGTGCTGGGCCCATCCGTCATGAGGGAGAGGGACTAGAGCTTAGCGAGGCCTGAGGATAAGTATTTCACATCACTTATTCATTAGTTTGTAAGATCTGACTTTGCAGGACACAATACAGGGTTTGAAGTCATTTGAAATGTTAAAAAAAAAAAAATGACAACTCTCATCTTCCCACTGTTACTATGATTGGGATGTTTTTCTGATCTCTCTGCTTTCATCAGATTAATTGCCTGTTCCTTCGCAATGGCTTAGATACAAGGAAACAGATACTGTCTGCAAGAGCTGCCTGGCTTTGAATGGTAACGAGCAGTGGATATATACAATGGCAGTTCCTCTTGGAAAACTGGACAGGGATTTACTAAGGTTTGCGATCCCTTCCAGGGGTGTAATTAATTTAGACTGTTTGCTTGGGATGTTTGAAGTAGCTACCAGGAAAACGCAAACATTCTCAGACTTGTGGGAAGGTCATAGTGTAGCCAAACACTGCCACGTTTAATTGAGCGTAGGACAACCAAATGTCAGAACCCAAATGTCTGAAAGAGACCAGAGGGACCATCTAATTGAAGGCCCTCATTGTTCCGATGAAGAAACTCAAAGACCAGAAATGATTTGCCCAAGGCCAGGCCATGAAACTCACAGTAGCTGGGGAGATGGCCACTTGTTCTTTTCATTTACACGAGCTAAATAAAAAGTCACCTTAAAGTAATAGGAAATACATCATCTGGCTGATGAAGAAAAGAGACTCTGCAGAATTTAAAAGGAGATTCGTTAAAAATAATTATTGTTCATGATGAACAGGTTTTTTTTGTCCTCCCTAGCTATCTAGACATTTAATAATTTTTGTCTTCCTAGAGCTTAGAACATGTGCTTAAGATAGAAGATGTTTTAAAAAGGAGGGAGCAAAGAAGGACCAATCAATGAGACTGCCTACTTCTTCTTCCCCAGGTCCCAAGCCTTTTCCGGGGGATTTTTTTTTGAGGGGATCTTTTAAACAGAGGTGGGGGGCATTTTCTGTGCTTCTGTCATGTGGTGAAAAGGTATCATTCTGTGGCTCCGAAGTGGAAGGAATTGACATTTCAATGAAAAAATGCCCAAGGCCCTGCCTACATGTAGGGGCCTCCCGACCTCCAGGGCTCCCAGCCCTTGTTAGGCTGCAATCTCGGGATTCTGCTGGAGAGAAGGAGAAACATTCTAAGGAAGACACAGACATCCCAGTTGGGCTGCCCTTTTCATCTGAGAAAGAAAAGTAATAGAGAGAAAGCAAAACCATACACTTTTGTCAAAATTAGATGCCATCAACTAAAATCCCTGCTTCTCCACCACGTGACTGAAAGAGGCCTCGGCCGGCGGTGCCCTGATCTGCCTAGTGAACAGCAGTGATGAGCCCGTGGCTTTGTAAAACGCCCTGCAGTTACAGAAGGCATCCCGTACACGCTCTCATCTGCTCCTGTGGCCACAGGGCACAGGGATCATAGTCCCCACTCTGCAGATGAGGGAACTGAGCCCCACACAAGTTGGCAGACATCTGACTTGGGGATTGTGACTCCAAGTTCAGTGCTGTCACTACTATAGAATCCTCTCCTTCTGTTACTTATAAAAATTCACTTCATCGCAGCACCCTTACCCTCTGCCAGAAGGAAATGGTATATTTGGAAAGGAATGCAAAGTGCTTAGCCTGTTTCTTGACACAGTAAGTGCCGGGCATGTGAGAGCTACTGTTAAGGAAGAGGCACTGTGGGGGAGTAATCGGGATCGTAGGGTTTGGGATCAGAAAGGTCTGCACTTGAGTCCTGAGCCTGGCCCCTTCTCTGGAAATGCGTTATGGGAGCGGGGCCACCTTAACTCTCCCCTGAGGACACGCGCACCTGCCTCATCGGGTTAACTATGAAATGAGGTGCAGATGTGCACGCAGAGCTTTGTAAGGTGCCCGTGCTTAGTGTTCAGTGAGTGTAGAGATCATTATCACAAGACCTTGTTGTGAGAAAACAAAGCAACGCTTGCCAGATGTTAGCATTTCCCAGTTGAACACCTTGACGTGTAAGTCTCAGGTATGGAAAGGCCTCCTGTCTTTGCCTCTCTCTTGACTTTCTGCACCTAAGAGAGTTTATTAGAGTGTTCTGTGGCCCCGCAGCTTCATGCTCCGCAGAGCCGGCCTCCGCTGTGGCCAGGTACCTGTATATGATGCACGCCGTGTTCTGGCAGGTGCTGCAGTTGTTGAGATCTTGGCCAGTTCGATAAAAGTTGCGCCTGCAAGACAGAGCATTTGCTGGGTAAGTTGACGGGCAAAAGTCCCAGGGGACCCACGCGTCTGCCTGCCTCCTTCCTGCAGCCTGGCTCCGCCCTCTCATCGGGAACCATACTCTGCAGCTGCCAGACCATTCCAAACAAACAAGAAACCCACGCGAACAGACCTCACGTTGCCAGAGGGCTTGTACCTGTGGACGCCCTTTCACGTCTGAGGGTTTCCTCAAGCTGACGAGGATCCTGGGAGATGAGTCAGCTCTTCTTAGCCCCTCGTGATGGTGGGGAAACCGAGGGGCTTTGCAGATGAGTGGAAGGGAGGATGTTGAAACTCCTGACCCCTCACTCGGTTCAGTGCATTTCTCTGCACACCACCCCAGTGCTGCTCTCTTGTAAGGCAACGTTGACCCTGATTCATCTCAGCAAATGTCACTTACGTTCCTCTGCCCTCTCCTGCCCGTTTGGGGATGATCTTTTGCCATTCCTTCTTCTCAGTCTTAAGGGAGCACATTTTCTAGGGACAAACACTCCACACCGAAATGAATAACTGCCTTCCCCTCCCCAGACTGGTGCTGAGTCACCCAGGAAAGTGGCTGTTTCTCGCTGCAGAATCATGATCTCATTGCAGTTTCTACTGAGTTGGTTCGCGATGGACGGGCCCACGTCCTGAGAGGGGTCCGTGGAGGGGAAGGTCAACAATAAGCTTAGGGGCCACCTCGAGTCCTCTGAAAAAACACACAAAGAACCCAAATCCTGTGCAAATGCAGTGACCTGCTTTGAGGATGGAGTGGGGGGAGCACCTGTGCGCTATCATTTCCCCCCATCATTTATCAACTGGACCCCTACCTTGAAGTCATCATTGCCCCCTTTCTCCAGCCTACTGATATTTGGAAACAAAAACAAAGAGCTGTGAAAATCCACCAAAGCCTAGACTCGAATGAAACCCAGTTGGAATAAAGGGGTTTTGCTTACAATTTGGGGAAACAACAGAAACGCAAATATTTTGGAGACATTTTACTAATGGAAACCAGTGCTCTCTCTCTCTCTCTCTGCAAATGACTTAACCCAGTAGTTTAATATATTAAAAAAAAAATCACCTTACCCTTCTGTGAGAGCCCTAGCTTTCTCCAAGTCTTGAATTACATTCAAAAGGACTTTAATTTTCTCTTGGTTCGAGTGCAGAGATTCCTCCACGGATTGCAGCCTGCCTTGGAGGTCACAGAGTTCGCCCCGGGCCAGGTGGATTTGATTAATCCCACCAACCTCCCTGTTGCTCTGAAGTTTGGTCTCCCTCCTTGGAAGAGAGGATGGGAGGCGATAGTTCGCTGGACAATTTCGAAACTCCGGGGTGTCTGACTGGGTGGGGTTCTGCCCTGTCTGCTCCTGACACGGGGGCGCAGACTTTGATGCGCTGCTGGGTCTGAGTGACGGCAGACCCCGGTGATTGTTACTCGATGGAGAACAGTCTGCAGCCCCTCCTGGCTGGGCTGGCTGGCTGGGGGCGCCTGGGGAGGGAGAGCTGTGAGTCCGTGGAGGTGAGGGGACACACGTGTCCTTTGACCGAAAAGACGGTGGGCCCAAGTCTTTGTCATCAGAGTTGTCTTTGGGCAAAAGCAATTCGCGTTTAAGTTTCCCTGTGCCTGGCATGTGGTTGGCACCGCTGGTGGTGTTTAAGCAGGAGGGGGATCTTTCCGAATCCGATGGCAACATTCTTCTCCCATCACCTGGACACAGGTCAGCCACAGGGGGGATGGGGTTGCTTATCTCTGCAGACCTGAAAGAGGGCTCTCTAGCTGCCCAGGTCGGACTGTGGAAAATGTCATCTGGCACCTGAATGGCAGCTGTTGCTTTCTCTGAAGCTCTCCACGTCCCTGCTTCTAAGCAGATGCTGACAGGCCCATTGCTCTGCACCTTGGCCATTCTAGGGAGAAACGGGTGCGACACCTTGACCCTTCGCGGCCCGTCCTCCAGATGCTGAGCCAGCCGTAGGTAGGCAAGGTCAGCAGACACAATGTCCTGCTCAGAGAGGTTGCCATTGACCTGGACGGCACTCGGGGATGCCGTTGGCATTTCCACCAGGGACTTACTGGCCGTGAGTCTCTTCCTCTTGAAAATCGGGAAATGCTTCCTGAGACTGGGGGAGGTTTGGATTGCGATGTGCCGACAGCCCCCCGCCTTCTGGGACCGGGGGAAGGAGAGAGAGTAGGTGGGGAGGTGATGGTGTCTGGGTGCGTGCGTCTGGCCCACGACAGCCGGGTCTTCGGGAGCATGGACGTCAACCTCAGCGAGGCCCGGTGGGGTCTTACCGGCCCCATCGTCCTTGAAGCGCACCTGCTGCGACTTGCTCCGGCGGTGGTGCGGGTGCCTCACAAGCTCCACGGACTCCAGGCTGTTCCGCTTCAGGAGCGCGGGCCGCACTCTCACGCTGGGCTGGGCCATGGGGCCTCAGTGGGCAGGGCTGGGGCCGCACCCTTCTCCCGGGCTCATGTCCTTAGGTCTTCGGGGCAGCCTGGGACGGTGGCCTCGCACACGCGGAGACCCGCCGGCCAGGGTGGAGCGGCCCTTTCCTCTGAGCACGGGAAGCCGCGTGGGCCATCCCCAGCCTGTGGGTTCTCCTCGGGAGCCACCCGGAATGCTTCCCCTGCAGTCAAAATATTATTTCATTGCAGTGATAATTGCCACTTAGATAAACAATGAGTTAGGCTAATTATTCAACACCCGATCTACCAAGAGAGCTGGTGGGCTGTTTATGGAGAGAGGCTGGCGGGTGGCTCCGGGAAAAAGCTTGCTGTCTGGAGCGAAAACGACAGAAGTCCCACCGAGGGGCTGGTGCCAGGCTCCCGGCGTGTGAATTCCGAAGGAAACCGGCTCCGGCTGGCACAGGCAGCTTGCTCTCCCCGAGCATCAGTTTCCAGTGTGAAACCGCAGGAGACTTAAACACATCTTCGTTCCGTTGCATGTAAACAGAAGGAGAGACCAATGACCTGGGGGTCTGCTGCTCTGATGGTACATGGTGCTCCCAAGGGAACGTCCTCATTTCTGTCCATCACGGGTCCCTCCCTCAGAGCCATTGTTTTCGTTCATGCTCTGCCCCTTTTCTTCAGTGAGGGACACTGATCTTCCTAAATAGCCTCACAAAACCCGCTGGGGTGTGACCAGGACAGGCGGAGGCATCGGAAGGCATGCAGGGGGCAGAGTCGCTGTCGTGACGCACACGTGGCTCAAGTTGACATGTGGGCAAGTGGCCCGTGGCTGTGGCCTCCGGGAATCTAAGCTGAGCACCTCTCCCTTGGCCCCGGGACTCGGGGACCGACACTGGTAGTCTGCCAGCTGGCAGGGAGCGTCTGAAAGGGAAGAGACAAGAGTTCCCACTGAGAATGCGGTTCCTGAGGACCTGGCTTGCTCTCCAAATTCCAACCGCCCAGCTGAGTGCTGCTGCGCGATGCTCTGGGCACAAGTCGGCCACGCTGTCCTTGCTTCTCCCCACCTGGCGAGCCAGCCACCTGATGGCTGCAGGGCCTTGGGACTAAAGGCCTGTCTGCCTGGGTCCCTTCCTCCTCCCCTCCCAGGCACCCCCAGCCAACTCCTATTCATCCGTGAAGTCCCAACGTAAATGCCGCTTCCTCGGGGAGCCTTTCCAATGACTCTTTCCTCAGGGACACCTCCAGTGCTACACCTCTACCTTCTCATCACATACTTCGTAACACCGGCTACAGCTGCCCTTAAATAACCCTTGTGTGCACCTGCCCCGCTGCCCCCCCCCCCACACACACACACAAGCTCCAGGGCAGCAGGGCCTCTTATTCCCCTCGTGGGTATCCCCAGCCCTCCTTTGGGCTCACCGTGGGTGCGTAATGAGAATTTGGTCATCGAGCGGATGGCTGGATGAAGGTCCTTTGGAAGCAAGGGACAGCCAGGGCACAGGATCTCATGCCAGGGCAACAGGACTGTGAGTTCTCTCTGCTGTGACTGTAACGTTTACTTGAGGACAAGATTTTCCCCAATGTCTTCACTTTTTTAATTGCTTTCCAGGAGATAAATGTGCATAAAATTCTCTGTGGGAAGTGTACCTTGTAACAATAACAGTTACCACTTATTCAACACTTATTTTTACCGTGCTGAGGGCTTTACATGCATTAATCATAACAACTCACTGAGAACTCAGTAATGTGCCCAGTGCCATTCGAAGCTGGAACGCATTCATTCCCTACTTTATAGAGGTGGGAACTATCAGTATCCCCATTTTACAGCTGCAGGAACTGAGGCCCAGAAAGGTCAAGGAACTTTCCCAAGGACCTGCAGCTAGGGACAGAGTCAGCATCTGAACTTGAACAGTCTCCACCACAGCCTGGCTCCTCACCTCTACACTCCACTGCCTTTTCAGTACTGCATTATCTCATTTAATCCTTACACCAGGGCGTCAGGATTCTCACTGTACTGATGGGGAGACTGAGGCTCAGAGAGAGTAAGCGCTCAGTGGAGGAACTGAGATATGAACCCAGGTGTCTGCGATTCCAAAATCTGGGTTCTTAGCTGTGAGGTTATGACTCTGTTCCCTTAGGGTCTGCCCGGAACAGACGAGATGATATCAGTGATTTGAGAAAATAGTTAGAAGATCCCTGCATGTCTACAGAGATGCAGGAACTGTCCCCTTGCCAAAGTGCACCTGTTTGATACAAGGTCAAGGGATCACACTGGGGTGAGGCAACTTTGAAGCAAGCCTGGGTTGACCAAAGGCTTTTGAAAGAAAGATAAAATAGTGCATATTCTGTCAATGGTGCTCAGCCTTATGGTAAAGCTTGAAACCTCCGGCTTCTCTAAGCATGGGTGCTTTGCCCCCCGAACATTCTTCATTCTGCTGTGAGGGGGTACCCGTGTTGTGGGTGAAGCTTAAGCCCTTTTTCTCAGTGTTCCTCTTTCTCCAGGAATTACTAGCTGATGGCCATGGCAATTTTAGCTTTCCTTGTTCCCAGCTACCTTGAGAGGGACCAACTAACCCTCCCAGTGACTGGCAGGGCCTGAAAGAAACAGGACCCATGTACGATGTGAGTGCGTTGTCGACTTGTCGGGAGGCCTGGGTGTCTCTGTGTCTGCTGTTGTGGATTTCTTTGCCTAATTGTTCTCTACCTTCCCCCCTCCCCCACTGTTCATTACCGCTTCACCTTGGTAAAGTTAACTCACTCAGTGGTCTGAAGCTGGTTTTCAGAAGAGCTCCTGTTTATCGAACATTGATTATGTGCCGGGCATGGTGATAGATGTTCCTCATTGACGTCTTTAAAGCTCGTGACAATCTTAGAGGCAGGAACCATCAGCATCTCTTTTATAAATAAGGAAACTGAGGCACAGGAGTTTAAGCAATTTACCCGCAAATCACTCACCTAGCAAGTGACAGAGCTGACATCTGAACCCAAGGCCTGACCCTGGAGCGCAGGCTCCTGACCACTGGACCTCCCTGCCTTCCCCAGGACTGGGAGGGACTTCCTATGCACAGCTGTCAGGTGGGCTTCCAAGCCCCTCCGCTCTCCCTTCCGAAAGGCAGCCACTAGTCTGGTTGTAGCCCCGCTCTCTCTCCCGGAATGTTTGCACCTTTGAGATGTTTTCTTTCGTTCTTCAAAAACAGTTGGTTTTCTATTTTTAAAGATATTACCTGTGCATTATAAAAATTCAAATAATGAAGATAAACAAACAAGGAAGAGGAACACTCATCTGAAATCTCACCACCCAGAAAGAGCCACTAAGTATGTACCTGGGTCAGTGAAGGTCACCGGCAGCTCGCTGAGCCTCCGTGCACACTGCAACCCTCGCGGGTCCAGGGACAGCCTTAGAAACAAGCTCAGCGACAGGGAGAAGGGTTCACAGTACGGCTTACGGATCACACCAGCCTTCTAAGTAGGCTAATGGGCCTCTGTTGTCTCGTTACACCGTGAGTTATTTAAATAGTGTCCTTTCGTGGATATGTAGGTGGCTTCTAAATATTTGGTATTATTACTAATCCTGTGAGTAACATTCTTTTTGGTGAACCTTGAAGCTCTTATCTAGTAAATTCCTAGAAGAAAAATTAGTGAGTTAAAGTACCCACACATTTTACATTTTGTTGATATTACCACTTTTCCTTCCAAAAGTTCTACCAGGACGCAACCCCACTGTGACTGCATGAGGAGGCCTGTCCACCTGGGCCCCGCTGTCACTGGGTTTGGTCGGTGTCTGATGACTTTTTCATCATCACTGATAAAATAGGAGGACAGTTGGCCGATATTTCTTATTATGAAATTCACTTAAGATTGGGTATTTTTTCATAGATTCACTGGTTTGGTACAACATTTGGTGTAGGTAAAGAATAAAAAGTTGAAAGTGATCATTTTGAACAATGAATCTAATGTGGAAACTCTTGTGTCTTAGGTATAACCGAGGAAGCATAGCAAATATAAAAATTTTTACTTTAAAAACTTATGTATTTATACTGCAATTCTTCTGCACCCCGCCCCACCCCCACCGCCCACCGAGACCTCTGCACAGACTTATCCTGGAGCGTGCACCCGGCTAAAGGGAACGACCGTGTGTAGGCCTCAGGTCTCACAGGTTCCCAATGTGCCACTGATGGGAGTCCCAGGCCTTGGTGGTTAGGGCTTAATTAGCACCCTGCCCAGAGTCGGAATCCGTCCCAGAGGCAGCTGCAGCACCCCGCCGCGTACCAGTCTGGGAGTCATTGCCGATCTTCGCGAAACTGTATTCTCTCCTCCCTTGATTATTAATTTATTGAATGCCAACCGTTTATATTCCAACATGAACCATGCCTGGTCCACAGGTGGTCCTCTTGAAATCAGTGTCCTTTTGGTAGGTACAGAAACAGTTAGTCCTGTCTCTGTAGGTCCCAAACTTTAGACTTTCTCTGGAATAGACTCCCTGTTCTCTTCTGTGGTTTTCGGGCTACAGCAAAGGACTTGGGTGCATAGGCTTTAGCTTATGGTTGGCTTGGACTAGAACTTCCACTTTCTGCTGACCTGGAGCAGTGCCGTGGCCTCTGTAAAACCACACAGAGTTGTTGTGAGAGTCAAATCAGATAATCTTCGTAACATGGTCCGCCCGGTCAGCGTTAGCCCACCAGGTAGAACCCAGCTGGAGACCAACCGTGAGATACTCAAGAGAGCGTCTTGGCCCTTCCACTGTGCCGTGGGAGAGTGAACCGTGGGCACATTTTCAGGAAGCGGTGTGCAAGGACAGCCTATCAGGAACCCTGCCCTTCTCCTCCCAATTCCTTACCTCGCGTATCACTTGGACATTACGCTGGTCTCCCTGCACAGTGACCTGCTGACCTTCAGCCTCCTGAACCAGACTGCAAGCTCCGTGAGAGCAGAAGCAGATCACAGTCCATTCTGAACCCCTGGCCCTTGCAGCCAGCTTGACACAGAGCCCGTGTTAAGCGAATTCTTGTCAAAGGAATGAATATAATCCCATATCACCTTTTTTTTTGCCTTAGTTTTTCTATG